AACACCCCGAAGGCCTGACGGGGCCTTGAAGAGGCAGCGGCAGCCTCTTCAGGGTCTGTTGAGGATCCGCCGCAATCAGGGGAGGGACCCCTGATGGCCGACCTGATGTCAGGACCCAATGCACCGCTTACCAGAGCCTTCATCTTTTGCGGTTGGAGATGCATCACCATCGACTGGTTGATCAACCCTCAACATGACCTCGCACACCCGGAGTTTCAGCAAGAGCTTCACGAGACGTTGCAGCAAGCCGATTGCATCTGTGCCGCTTTGGACTGTAGCACCAAGTCCCGCGCTCGAGAGATTCCCAGGAAGTTCGAGGACGGCCGACCCGCTCCGAAACCCCTGCGGTCAGACGAACACCCCACAGGCCTTCCACACCTCCGAGGGAGTGACCTTCGGCGAGTGACCAAGGACAACCAGGCCTGTGACTTTGTCCTCCAGGAGATCCAGGAATTGGCCGCTCGTGGTGGAGTGTCACTGCGGGAGAATCCGGCGAGGAGCCTCCATTGGGAACTGCCCCGTGAGAAGCAGATGTTGGCGTCCGGCGATTGGCAGGACACCTGCTACGCAGCATGTTGCTTCATGGGGGCGCGGTGCAAGCAGCAGAGACTCAGGCACAACATCCAGGAGATCTCCCAGTGGCCGCCACTCCAATGCCATCATCAGCACGACCCAGATGAGTGGAAGCCCTACACCTTGGATGGGCAGCGAGTCTTCCCTAGCCACGAGGAAGCTGAGTACACAGCCCCGCTGGCCTTCGCCATTGCGGTGTCCACTAGTTGGTGGGCAGTACGTGTTGGTCGAGCCAAGTTGCGCGTCCCTCGGATGCCGCCGACTGAGGCTGTGGGCCGCCGGGAGCACTGGCTTCACTATGACCCCCGCTCTATGCGCAGCTGGGCTATGACTCCTTTGGCGATCCAGCTGGGCCTGCGACCAATCGACCCGCGCGAGCGAGCACGGGTGCCTCGCGTGCGTCGAGCAGTCGACCTCTTGGTGGATGGCCACCTTCCCGCCAAGTGCATCTACGTAGGGCGAGGGCATCACAGCCACAAGTTGCCCCTGTCGAAATGGTGCTCTCCGTACACCCCAGGGCATGATTGTACCGCAGATGAATGGCTTCCTTGCTATGTTGAGTTCATCATGTCATCCAAGGCGGCGGAACTCCCAGAGCTGGCGGGCTGCACCTTAGCCTGTGATTGCCCACATGACAGCGACGTTTGCGAAGCTGATGCGCTGGCAGGGTTGGTTTTTGACGCCACAGCCCCGGAAGCACCTCGTTACTTGGCAGCGGCAAGCGGGCAAGCCCAGAGGCATCACTCGACAGCATCTCGAGCATTGCGGTTGGGGGTCATCTCCAGCCGCGGAGTGGCTGCGAGCATCCCAGCACGAGTGGGCCTATTCACCCAAGAAGGCGTTGTCACGTGCTTCCGCCGCCTCTTCCCAGGTACACGGTTCCAGGACTTCAAGTTCCCGATGATCGAAGACCTCCTGAATCAGGCACCGTTCTGCGAGTTTCCACGCTGGAGAGACCAGCACGATCTCAAGGCAGATGGGCCCCTGGGACCACATTTGGCTAGCGCAGCTCTGAGGCAGCGGCAACGTCATGCCGAGGGCCAGCAAGCCGGAGCTTTGAGCCATAAAGCCGCCCTACCTCCGCTTTTGAGTTTTGGGCTGGACCCGGACACCCACTTTCAGCGTGCTTGCCTTCGAAGCCAGGCACCCATCCCGACTGAGCAGTCGCCCCTGCTGGACGATGATCTATGGTTTGTGGCTGAACTCTATGCATCACGTTCCGCAGACCTACCACGACTCCGCGAGCAGAGCCTAGGCATCTTGAAGGAGCTGAAGCAGCGATGGAGGAGCGTGGGCGAGCACCTGCGGACTTTCCAAACATCAGCGATTCGGGCAGTCACCCGTTCCAGGGACATCGGACTAACAGCCCTCTTGGTGACCCTAACGTCCTGGGCGGATATCACGTACCCTTACGGCTTGGTAGCGGGACTGCCAGCTGTAGGTACGGCACCACCCTACGGGGTCTTTCCGGAGCAGCCAGGTCGTATCCTCACCATGGAGGACGTGCTCGACGACTGGGAAACCCACAATTACAAGACCCTCGCCTCGCTCAAACCCGGCAGACATGATGCCGTGCTGCTGGAGCAATCGCTGAATGATGCCGCCCAAGGCTTCTGCTCTGCACCGTTGACCCAGGCGCAGCTCCTACGAGAACTACGAGGAGAACCATTCCGCCTCATCCCCCGATGTGTGATTGTCCAATCCTCGGGCAAAAAGCGGATCATTGATAATGGAGATACAGGAGGCCAGTCTGAGAGGTCTTCGGATTGGAACAAGTTGGTGCTATGCTCGCCGTTGCGCCCTGCACAACATGTGGGGGCGGTTGCTTCACTGTTGACAGACGAACAGTGGCATACTCTTACGGCTGCTGACGAATGGCAGTCAGGAGGGGAAGATTGGCCGAACGCGTATCGGCATTCCCCTATCAGTCAGGCAGAGAGCCGCGGCTGTATCGTCTGCTTCTGGCATGCTGAGCGGGGGGAACCCGCCTTTCAGGTGTATTCATCCCTCCTCTTCGGCCTTCCGCTCGCGGTTACATCGTTCAATCGGTATTCCCGCCTCATTGAAGCACTGGGCCGACGGCTTACATACAGTCTGGTGTCGCTCTATTTCGATGACGCCCACATCACGGACCTCCAGTCAGGCTTCGGCTCCAGCCAACAAGCTTTCTGTCAGTTGAACACCCTCTTAGGTACCCCGTTTGCCGAGGAGAAGAAACAGTTGATGCAGCCTACCGGTACCTTTCTGGGCCTTGATCACGACTTTACGAACCTCAGTCGGGGCTTCGTGACGTTTTGGGCCCGCGAGCGATTGATTCAGAAGACAGCTGCGATGATTACCGAGGCACAGACACACAACAGCCTGTCCTCAGGCCAGGCATCCAAGCTCTACGGCATGCTCAATTTTCTCGAGTAGGGCATGTACGGAAGGTTGGGACGCGCAGGTCTGGCAGCCATTAAAGCACGCCAGACAGAGCGCAACCGCGACCTCACTCCAGGGCTTCAGCGCAACTTCGATGTGATTCATTCCATCCTTCGCCATCGACCCTGTCGAGAACTTCCCGTGAGGCCGTCCGAATGTTTGCGGTTTGTTGTAGCTTCTGACGCAGCTTTGGAGGAACCAAAGCAGGGCACAGGAGGATTTTTAATCGTCTGGCACGATCCGGTGGGACCGGTTCGGGAAGCCTTCATCGCCAACATTTCTCCGGAAGTTTACCAACTGTGGGAGCCTGGTGACAGGCAGATAGCCCAGTTGGAGATGATGATGATCATTTATGCCCTCACATATCGGGCGCAGGCCTTTCGAGGTCGTCGAGGCATCTGGCTGATCGACAACGTCGCTAGCCTCATGTGTCTGATTCGGGGCCGTTCCCAGTCACCCGATCTGGAGCGCATGTGTGGTTTGATTCATGTCATGCTGTACGCTTTGCGTACCTGGATGTATTGGGAATACATTCCGTCTAAGAGTAATTGGGCCGACGCCATTTCAAGACTAGGTTGGTCCGATCCGTGGTGGCGAACCAACGGATTCACCCCTTTTTCCGTCTCTTGCCCTCTCTGCCTTTGGCACCTTCCGCTGCCAGCAGTGATCCGAGTCGTAGAATTTCTCTAAGTGCGTTGGGAGGATTTGAAGTGCATTGGGAGTGGTTTCCGGAGTGACCGGAAGGATACCACAAGGGTCTGATT